TATATTTTTTTATCAAAAGATAAAGTTGGTGCACCACAGTCCATCGTCAAGTTCGAATTTCAAAAACCTTTTCCACGCCAGTGTTCCTAACGGTTAAGAAAGCCTTTCCGAGCTAGTGAAAACAAAACTACCTATTTTAAATACAAAAATACATATTATATACATACGGTATTCAAGTTAACTGTTTGGTTTTGGACTTTTTGAATACGTGAATGCTATCATGGAATAATTATTTCATGGTTGCCACAAATTTGATCGTATGATCTACACATTATATAAACGACATAAAAATAACAGTACGTGAGTGCTGCATTTAACACAGGTTCTTTCAATACAGCACGAGAATACGAATGTCTTCATTTTCATAAAATTATGTATAAAAGCAGTAGCAGGTACAACTAAACAATAATGTGGTAACCCTACGCGAGCGAGTTGTAAGTAATAGGTATTGATACGCCAATGAGGCGAGAGTTACCCTGCTTGTCTTATATATTATGCTATGTATAATATAATGCCTATTCGCTCTCGGTCGCCTCGAAAAGGCCCAAGTTACAAGTGGCAACAATCTACAGACAGGGAATTCCACTTCAATGTTGTACTCGATATAAATGTGGAAGCGTAACGCTACATACAGCACGTATGTACAATAAAGGTTGTCACTCATTGTTTCTTTTATTAAAAAATTAAGTGCTCATTTCTGTCATAAATGTAATCGACATTTTTCTGGGATCAACGAAACGTGATCTACAACCCCTTCTAATCGGTTTTTTATATCTAGTTTAGTTTTAGTTTTTTTTTATATTAGTGGCTTTGCCGTCGCATTTAGCCAATCAAAGGGTTTTTTATAACATCAAGTGACGGGACGAACAAGTCGTGCGCCTGATGGTAAGCAACACGCCTGCCCATAACAGTTACAATGCCACTCAGAGCTTTAAATTGCAAAGATTCGAGGTGCACTGCCACTGCGCCCCTCACCCTGAGATGTAAGTTGACAAGTCCCATGTGCCTGTAATTTCACCAACACCCTTACCCTTGAAAACCGGAACGCAGTAATGGTCGCATTACACATATTTATACATATATATATATTATTTGAATGTAATAAAAAAAAGTACGGAACACAATCAACGTAACTGACATTTTACAAAAAAACCTTTAGTGCCAGTATCTCGAAAGTTACGCAAATGCAAAAGCGTTAATGGTAATTTTTTTTTTTTTTTAATAAATAACGCACACACTCAACATAGCCCCGCACTAGGGAAACCCTGTGTCGCGGGTGCCATGGACACACACATAGACAACCACAAATTACACCCAAACTCACGAGAGAAATAATTGTAGGCCATACAAATATTTCTCCCGGCCCGGGAATCGAACCTGGGACCTCTGCATGGTAACCGTTCGGCCACGGAGGCAATTATGACGAGGAGGGCAGATTTGACCTCCACCTCACGTGATAGAAAGTGACAATGAGGTCGGTTTCCTCTATGGGTTTTTAAGAGTTTTTCAAGAGTTGTCAACCTTCTTCGACATAGAGGCTTTACCACGATGTTTCCGTACACTCTTAGATAGAGGCAATGCTAAACATTCACAAATTTATGTAACGTCAATAAAGTCATAGGTAAGTACGTATCGCCAGAGGGACTCGAACCGACCTTTAAAATGAGAAACAACCGTCCTCCCACTAGGTACTGGGCTACCACCGCTCAATTAAATTAAATTAAAATAAAACAGAACTGTTTAATTGTTGTAGCTTTTTAAAAAAGCGTGCTTTTTAGACGCTTCTCACTTACGCTTTTTATTTAGGTTGTGTTGATAGCGAAAAGTAAGAGTAGACCACAAAAGGTTTGTTTTTTTGTAAAGCACGAGTTTTATTTATAAAATTATTATTCACATTGACGAATTAATTTGTAAGAAACATAAATGGTGGGACTTAAAACATAGGTACGTTGTAAAAAATAAAATTGTTGACTATAGAACTGACCAACGCTTACGCTTAAGTGCGGGAGTACACGTCCGATTTCGTGTCTGATGGTCGGTTCCGACTATATCCGATTCTTTCGTCAGACTTTACCTGAACTAACTGCAGTGCTTATGGGGAATTCCCCAAATGCAGGGAATTTCAACTCAACAACTCGCTTGGGGATTTTGTTTGAATTACGCCATGTGGAGAAAATGCCCTCGCATTCTAGAATTTTATCATATTTTTGTTGTATTGATTATCACTGATAAAAACACTATTTATTTGTTTGTTTATGAACGATATTGATAGTTTTTAACATCGCATATGAACTGCTTACAAAGCAACGTTTATGTAGAATTATTAGCAAACCGCTTACATGTATAAAATTATCCAGTAGGATTAGAATCACTTAAAATTACTACTATTATTAGTCACCGACAAGAGCCTGGCTCTTAAATAGAATGATGATGACCAATCGGTGCGTGTTGAGTGCGTGACGCTTCCTCGCCAACTTTTTTAAACGCCCACCTCTAACCATACTTCACGTAGAGGCCAATTCTCCCTCTACGATACTTCACATACCCACCTATGCCTTCGTCGTTGACATATTTGACATTGCAAACTTTGAAATTTGAATGTTAGGGCGCCTTCAAATTAGACGCTTGTAGAAGAGCTGCAGCTTAAGACTATTTTTTTCCATCCTTGAGTTGAGAGCTGCAGTGACGTGTCTGTAGCGCTGCTGTATGAAAATTAGTAGGTGCGCCACGGCGTATAAACGTCTAATTTGAAGATTAGTTATATATTCCGCGAATAAATGGAAACAGCACTCTCATTATTAATTTTTTTTTATTTTGTTCTTCGAAAAAGTATGCTATGCTATGGTCTCAAAGACTGCCTCGTATTCAGTGGGGAGTTAACGATTCAGATCTGTTGCAGTAAACGTCTTTAGTAAACTCTTTTTCTTTTATCTTCCTCTTCGGCATTCATAAAATCCATTAATAAAATTTCTAAAAATATTATTTATTAACACTTAAATAAATAAAATACGATAAATGTTCATAGTGAATTCTTCGTTTGTAATTTCAGGGGCCTTAGTGTAAATTTTCAAGTATGTAAACTTAACAATCGCGTTTGGGTTATGATTTGAATTTAAACCTTATGTCCATATAATTAAGATCTAAATAAAATTCGTACCGCACACGCGGTATTTACGTTTCAATTATTAAAAATTTACACTCAGGTCTCTGGTACTCTTTAATACTATTATGATATAACAGCATCTCAACTATTTAATTTAGGCATCTCATTTCGCACTATGCTCAGAGCATGCATACACCCAATGTAGTAAAATATTTCAGTGTGTGTGGATTGAGTAAGCACCCTCTGTAAAATGTTTAAAAGTCATTTAGTAAAAGTTCTAAAACAATTGTAGAAACCATTGACTTACAATTATATGGACGTCGGGTCCGCGCTAAAAAGTGTCCGCACTTGTAAGGCGCTAAAATCGTATACAGAGCGCGACACTCCGCTTTAGTCTTCATTTGTTCTACGGACAGCGCGATACTGCGATGACATAACAATTTAAATTTCGAATAGGTTGACTTGGGACATTTTTTTCGTGGTTTTTGTATTAGACCCGTCGTCCATTTATTTGTAAGTCAATGGTAGAAACCAATCTTTCTATTTGTAAAAAGATAAAACAAGAGAAAAATAACTTAATGTGTGCTCACTCAGTTCTCACCAAGGGCCAGTCACATCTACGAAAGTATTAAGTTTACATATAATATTATTGTACTAGTTTTTAGTAAAAGTTTAGTTAAACTATCGTTTTTAATTACAGATCGATTGCCTGCCTTTTTTAATTTTTTACAAATACTTTCTTATGCTCACTCAATCCGCACGTTTTTAAAAGGAACAATTTCTTAAGAACTTTATTTACTAAATTTACAGAGGGTGCTCACTCAATCCACACACACGTAAATATTTTCATTTTATACAGTGACCTCTGTGTGGAGGCATATAGAAACACGGAGTTCATAAGGTAACAAGAGCCAGTGTTCACGCGCGCTGCCAAGTTTCAATTGATATAGTTTGTCATTTCGCCACAAGATGTCGTTGTATATGCCAAAAACGAAGAACTTTTTTCCACTTTATAGTTGTATTATTGAAACAATTTACAAAAAAATCCCAAGTTCTACTAGGTATAAAAGGAGTAGGTACTCGATACTAATTATTATTATAGCTTATTTATTTTAAATTATTTTGTTAACTTTTGACAACTAGTCATTCTTCATTTCGTTATCGTACATTCCATTTGTTCTGTTAACAGAACAGAAAAGTACCAGTAGCAGTCCTCTCAACAGAACTGTACAACCGAACTAGTGAGAATAGAGGGGGTTTTTCCTTGTCTTTCGATATCGGTAGGGTAGGAGCGGGAATATTTTCCCTATACCTCCCAAATAGAAACAAAGCACTCGCACCTATAATAACATGTCATTCACCGAATAAAGGTAAAACAGTATTCGGAGACTAATTAAACAAGCCATCTCTATGGTGGTACAGCAGGAACTTAAAAAATACCCTCTATTCCCACCTGTTCTGTTGAGTAGTTCTGTCGGCAGAACTATTGGGATTTTTTTAATAGTTCTGCCGACAGAACTACTAAAAATACCGACCACACTACCACCAGTGGTTCGCTTAGTAATGGGTCCCGCGGTGAAGGCACATGGGACTTGTCAACGAGTGATGGGCGCAATGACAATCCCCTTAAGTAAAGCTCCGAGTGGCAGTACAACTGTCATGGATAGGCGTGTCGCTTACCACCAGGAGCAGGACTTGTTCGTCCCGTCACTTGATATAAAAAAAATCTCTTTTCACCAGAACAGCCGATAATAGAAACACGACCCTCCAACCTCACCGCAATAACCAAGTCTTGGGTATGTAATATTATTACTTATTACAATATAAAAACAAATACTGATTTAAAAACATATATTTAGTGTTTTGGTAAATCAACTGAACATTAAAGCAAATGGAACTGTAATCAAAATTATTATATTTTACACTTACTATCATGTATAATGATGAATGAGAAACGTAAAAGACGACTCCTGCTACGGTTTATGAATCCATTCAACAAGTAATAAAAATTTTGCCATTAGGAAAATAGTATACCTTTTTAAAGTACAGTCAACTCAAAGTGAAATATTTGATGATAATACAAGATTCGCTTCCTCTCATTCTTCGTCAAAAAATTGCCTTTCAGTCTAACGGTGTCACCACACTTACTAACGCGGAATTGGCTCGAGACGGTCATAAACATCTTTTTGTCCATGCATTCCGCTCGGAGCACCGACGGCGACGCGTAGCGCACGTCTCTTTCCATAAATCTTTTTCTGAACGGCTTAACTCTATTCATAGTCGATAGGTGTGGTGATTCCTTTACGCGTCTTACAAAGACTTTTAGATAAACATGGTAGACATCACGTACGTAGTACTCTGATCCTAAGTAACTGAAGCACGTATGGAAATCAGAACAGAGACAGTAAACAAAAAGTAAGTTTCTACATTGACCCGGCCGAGGATCGAACCCAGGACCCGACCACGAAGGTCGTCTCATAAAAACAAATAATTGGCATGAGATTTCTTAAATTCTAAAAAAGTTTCGCACAATTTTGTGACTTTACAAAATCGTAAACCAAAAATTTGCTCATTTTTTATGCTCTAATTATTAAGCTTATAAGAATCAAAAACATTGCAGAAAAAACGAATGCAACATTACTACAATTTATAGTTATTCGAATGATGAATACATACATAATTGGCACCATCTTATGTATAATCAGTAAATCTACACGTAAATTTACCACATTGATCATAACATACATTAGGTATATATATTACTTAAGTACTCGTCTTTTAATGAAATGTGGAGAACTACCTTTTCAACTAGTTAGTGCGAAGTATATAGGTACCCAAAGTTCGCTTAACAAAATTTTAAGATATAGTCACGACTAAAAGCTAAAGACCATTTCTCTACAAAAAAGAATCAACAGGAACTCAAAGTATTTTTCCTTAAAAAAGATACAAATGCAATTTTAATATTAGATTAAATCTAGAAACATACTTAATACTAATGATTGCTTAATACAGAATGTCTTTTTAATCACAGATTAGGTTTTTTCTCACCACTTTAACTAGGCAGAAGAATATCAAAATCACTAACAAAGAGTTTACGGAAGTAATAATACTTATAATAACTTTCACTGGATGTCACTTATCAGTCGATAGTATTCAATTACTTTTTGCAGTCTTTAACAATAACTTTGGGATCAATGTTCATAAATTCACTCAACTTTCTAAGCGTCATAGGCATCATTGTGTTGGAGAAAGACATGATCAGGTTAACTTTATCCAGCTGCTCTATAGGTGTTGGTTTTGTGCCGTAATATGAGAATTTTTCCCGTTCCAGATCAGATTCCTGGAACGGAAGTTTCGTAGTCGACTTCCGAGCAACAGTTCTATAAGGTAATTTCGTTGTCGATTTTCTTGCAACTCTCTTTGGTAGAGGTAGTGTAGAATTATCATTCTTCCTTTTGGCACAGGATGTGCCCTCTTGTTCACTATCTAGATGGTCGTGAGCGCCTGGCGTATATGGCTTAATTTCATATTTAAATGACAACGAACAATGCAATGTATTATGATGTGTTCGTAATTCTCGAATAAACTTAAAACCTTTTTTGCAGTAACCACAACAAAGTATCTCTCTAGTGTCGTAATTTAGCTTGAAATACGCGTAGTTTATTGATGTGCCGGGATGGTTAGCGGCATGATGTTCTTGCATTGCATTGTCGTCAAGTAAAAGAGCGAGACAAATGCAACATTTAACGACGACTTCTCCTTTCTTGGCGTAAGTTACAAGGATTTTATCGTGGAAGTGAGAGCTCTTTTCTGACTCAGAAACAACCTTTTCGCATACTAAACAAACAGTTTTAGGGGCATCTTCCTTTGGTTGTGATTCCTCTTTTTTAGGAACGCTTTCGCTTTTTTCTTTTTCCTTCTTGTGAGTAGTATTATAATCATCAGACAACGATCTGCGACACCTTTTCTTTTCCAGGTTAATTATAACTGGCGGACCAGGTGGGATTGGTGTTTTAGTATACTTTTCTGGTTCACCTGGGTGATAGTACGTAAAATGATTGAACATAGATGCTTTATGGCAGGAAAACCCGCAGAATGCACAATTAAGAGGCATCAAGTTGTAATGCCTTAACGTGTGAGTATACATTGCTTGGCTGTATTTAGTGGTGAAGTCGCAGTATTTACATTTTTTTTTGCCTTCTAATTTTTTTTTCGGTGGAGTTTCAGCTTCGTCTGTTGTTGGTTCATCTATGACTAATCTTTCATCGTCGCTGTCAGGACTTGTGGCAGCAGGAGTCGTGAACGCAGAAGGCGTGCCTTTTTTCCTTTGAAGCATCTCTTCTTCAGGTGTGGGTACTTTTTCTTCATAGCGGACAGCTAGCAGAGAATTATCGATCGTGTCAAAGAGATTGGATTGGTCATCCTTTGAGGAGGACGGAGACACATTTTCATGCTGTTTCATCGTGTGTTTTTGGGTGTCTATGACAGCGCTGACCCACGCCACTCTCATGGATGGATTCCTCACAGCTTCGATCGGTCTTGCGCTCTGGCCTGGGCGCAAATTTTTGCAAGTCTTGCAATGCAACTGCGCTTCGTGATAATTCTGTGAATAATCACTACAACTACTGCATCGCCACCTACAAAATGAGACAAAATTCCTTTAAGATGTTGATTTCTTTCAAATTTAAACAATAGTTATTATCATCAACCCATACGTCCTACTGCTAGACACTGCAACAGGGAGAGGATTTACACTTAGTTTTTGATGACGCAATGCGGTTTGGAGACTAAATAGACGATATTTTTTATAAAATAAGTAAGAATAGTACACACCGAACGAGAACTGTTCCAAAATGAAATTATATACAATGACATCTTACTAAAATAGCACAGGCAAGCTATTGCAAAATATGTGTTTAGATCAAGCAAATAACAAACAGCTGTCAACAAAGCTTTGTTTCGCGAACTAGACAAATATACGTCCACTTACCTTATTTTGTTCAATTCTAACTCCAAATGATTTTTCATTACATTTTCGTCTCTGGTTTGTAAATCACATTTAGGGCAGCAAAAGTCTATATTTTTGGGGGATCCAAATTTTCCAAAAGCTTGACTCAAATTATCAAATTCTTTCGCTCCAACACTAACATTATCCGAGGTCTGGACTGTTTTAAAAGGAGGCGTAGACGTCGTCGTTGATGTCGCGTCAGGTTTTGGAGTTTGTATTTTTTGTTTGTCTAAGTTTTCTTTGTTCTTTGCAATTATATCCGTTTGATGATCAAGGACCTTCGTAACCCACTTTTCGATATTGACGTTCGTTGGTAGTTCTATTAATTCTTGATGTCTTGAGACTTGTCTAAAACTGTGCTCGATAAACATGTGTTCGTTAAGACCAGTTTTATGAAACGCCTTGTACATGCAAATACTGCAACCCCATCTGAAAAACGAAGGGAATTTAAACTACTTTTTCATTACCAGATACCATGTTTTAGTAGTTTGCTAAAAAATAAGGTACATACTTCCTATACTGCAACTCTTCGTATAAATGTGACTGCATAGCATCCTTACTGTCTTCCATAACGATTTTACACAGAGGACACTTATATTTCAAGCCATTTGGATTACATAACGACCCGAACCTCTTGTACAACTGTTCAATCGATTCTTCAGTTTCGTTGTCTACTACTTCCTTTTTCACTAAGTTAAGATTAACTGTGACAGACTTTGCTGCTGTTACAGAGGCTGGTGTTGGTGAAGTAATACCAGGGACTGGTGCTTCCGTTTCAGTTTGAGATTCCGTTTTCACTTCACACTCAGAGTTTATTTTCTGTCGCTGTTTTTGCCATCGCGGAATACCATCGGCCTCTTCAGGAAATGAACCTTCTCTGTAATAATAGTAAAACACATCGTCATGACTCTCAGGATGTACTCTAGACTGGTGATTGGACACGTTCTCCAATGTAGATCCTCTGAATGGACAATTTGGGCACTTGTACTGCCATTTCGAATTGTGCACTTTTGAACAGTGCTCGATCACTTCTTGACGAAGCATGTTCTTATATTTACACAGTCCACATTGCCACGGTTTTAAATCCATAGTGGGAGTCGCAGGGGCAGCTTGACCTGCACCAGCGGGAGCCTGATTAGTTGCCTCCTCTCTTACTATCATGACCTGCCCTGCTCCCTTGTGATTCTCAGCCAAGTGTTTCTCAAGCACTTGTCTTCGATAGTGATAGTATGAACAAGACGAACAAGCATAGAGCCGTACATCGTGCATTTTTAAATGAGCGATAATACGAGCTGCTGTCAAAGGTCTCGAAGTGTCTAAATGTTGATAAGGAGGACAGTGGACACAATGAAAGTTATTAGATCCAGTGTGAAGAGTTTCCCAGTGGCATTTGAGCATGGCTTCATCGACAGAAATGTAAGAGCAGTCTTTAGCCCCACATGTGTGACGTCGTCTCTCAGGCACATATTTAGGATATCGCGCAGCGGCTTCAGGTGGTATCAGTAGAGTCACCGAAGGAGTCCTCTCACTTCGGGAGGGTTTATCATTTTTATTTATTAGTGAACTAGAAGCAAGATTGATCATCTTATCGAAATGTTTTTCATTTGTCTCAAGATGGGGTACAGGGTTAACAGGTACAGTAGACGGCACAGCCTGGGCTTCGGCGTGTTGCTGTAGATGTCTCACAAGATTCGGAAGCACTTTAGTACTGAATTCACATTCAGAGCAGAAGGCCGGTTCATCGAAGATGGGCCTTGTTGGTAACTGATTCAAGTCCCGAGGACTGTAGCGTTTACGTTTTGGTGGAGTTTGTTCAGATGTGCTACCAGCAGAAAGGTTTCTTTTGGGTCCTGGGGCATCGCGAACAGTGTACAAAAATCCACCATCGTCTAAATGTTTTGAAACCACAATGACGTTCGTAACTCCATGATAATTCTTTAAATGACTTTTTATGAAAAAAAGTTTCGAACCTTTGTAATCGCAAATGCCACATACATAGTTTTGCATCCGCTGTTCCTTTGTGTATGTTTGTGACTTTTGTCTGCGTAATTTTGGACAGGCCCCGTGGTCCTGGGTATAATGCTTTAGAAGTTCGTCCAAGTAATTCACTGTTTTAGGGCAGTGAGCGCAGTTAAATTTATCCATTTTACTTCTACATGATATAATATGCCTCTTAAATGCCGCCGGAGATTTGTAGACAACAGAACAACCAGAACATTTATACAAATCGGAAGCTGAAAACTTTTCATAATTATCTTCAGTCTTCATATTTTCTGTGGAAGTGGCACTGTCGTCATCGGAGAGACTTATTATATTTTGGGCTGTATCTCGAGAATCTTCCTCATCACTGTCCAAGCAAATAACATCTGCACTTGACGGGTTATCTTTTGTAGGGGTTTCATCAATTGGTTCGGTTTTAAGCACAGGTGTAAATTGTAAATTTTGCTCTTCAGTTGGTATCTCTGTGGGCGGTACTGAAGTTAATACACGAGGCGGTTCTGGAATCAATGTTGCCATTTCTGAATCATCAGTTAATGTTGGCTCATGAGGTATTTGATCCATAATTTCCGAGTTTGTGTCCAGCGGGTGCGTGCATTCAATATTTGGGTCATTATCAGGAACAACCGTTAATGTCGCTGTAGTGTCCATTGTCGGTAATATTACCGAACCGATCAGTTTTTCCAAGTCAATAGCCCTTTCTGCTTCTCTAGAAGGATCATCAGTTTTGTTAGCAGCAGTCAAGACTTGGACTTGTACAATAGATTTGTTTAGCTGAGCTAAAGGCAGTACCATCATTTTTGACGCATTTCCATCCTGGAAGCAGAAATCGATTGTTACAAATAAAAACCAAAAATTTTAAAGGACAGTACATTGGAGCTTGCAATAAAAGTTCTTACTTTTTGAGTAATGACTCTCAAATAAGCTTGCGGAATTTTAGACGGATGTTTGGCTGATGCATGTTGCAATAAATCTCCTTCATTTTCGGCTCCATATACACACCATGTACACTGATACAGCATTAGTCCATGAGTTTTCAAATGTTGAATTACTTCTCCAGGACTTGGAAAAGAGGACGAGCAGATCTGTAAAAATAAAACAATGAAAACATTTGCTCAATCATTAAGATATGAATGAATGTAAATACATACATGACACGAATGCGGCGGTTCATGTTTCATCAAATGCTCGGAGAATTTTCCTTGAGTAAACGTCTTGAACTTGCAATTCGACGCAGCTGTAACAAACACATATAAACTTTACATATTTTATAATATTTCCAGAAATCTAACAACCCAAACCATATAACACAAGCAAGATACATTTGTTACGAGCATTTCTTCAAATAATGGGTCATATTATCATAACAAAGCAGCCGATGCATATACGGACAAGACTGCATATTTCAAACGAAAAAACAAACTCACCACAAATGTAGTACTGAACAGCCAGATTTCGCGGTAAAATGTCAGCTTTGTCTTCATTGGTCGTTACGGATACTGAATTTTGGTAAACAACACTTTGAGCATGTTGAATGCCATGAACTCTGATCATGTGAGCTCGCACTAACTGACTGGCGGCCGCCCGATAGAAACAATACCCGCAAGTATAATGACAGTAGGCGTGATTTTTAAACACATGCGTGATCAAATCAATTCCGTTTCCTTTAGCATCGGAGTCACAATAAGCACACATAAGAGCGTTTTCTCCGCCAATGCGCTGATGAGTAGAAGCGTGTACTAATGCGGCTTCAGCAGAGTCCGTCGTGAATGAACAAAAGCGACCTGCGCATTTGAAGATTTGTATTAACTTTTCCGGAACTAACATGGCATCCAGAACCACTCGATGCTTTTTTGACATAATTTCAGCTTGAGCTTCTTCGTATCGAACCTGTTCCTGAAGTTTTGGTGGGGTTAACATATTTTGCATAGCTTTGTCTACAGGGGGGGTTGGGTTTGAAGGTTCCACACAGTGAGCGCCTAAGCTTATGACACTTTGTATTTTTGGTAAAGCGTCAGAATCACCTTCAGCAGCAGGAATTTCATTTTCTTTTGACATTAGATCTGACAATGGCCGAACATTTATGTATGATTTCGAAGAAGGTGGCTCTTCAACGGTTGGTTTTTCTAGAGAACATGAAGTTTTAATTCCTGCGTCTTCTGGGGAAGTAGTAGCAATTTCTGCTGTAGTCTCCATATTTGCCAAAACAGGGAAAGTATCAATATGTTTATCTAGCATATGTTGCAAGCAGTCTCTGAAGCTATGTTTCCCTTGAGGCATGACAATGACTTTACAAACGAAACAATACCCATCCCAGTTCTCAGAATGCTTTATCTGTACATGTTTCTTCATAGAAATCAAGAGTGAAGTTTTATAATGATTGTCATTTCCATTTATACAACAAATGTATTCTTTAGCACCAGCATCTTTGAAGCTGATTTTAAAATGCGGATAATCTAAAATGTCTGAAACTGGTGCCAGATCTACAAAAGCGGCGCTATGTGCTTCAAACATTTCTTCTCGATTATCTTCTTTTTCGATTTTTATGTTTTCTGGAGGCAAGTTAGGGGTATCATCACTTTCAAAAGTAAGTTTTGAATGAACGGGGATTTTAGGAGTGGATCTATCTTGAATATCTGAATCTTTCTTTGATTCAGTTGTTTGATAACTTATATCAGTTAGTTCACTGTACTCATCACTACGATCGCCACTGGTTTCTGTTACACTTAGATTAGTGCGACTTCTGAGTAAACGAGGTTCAGAAATAATAGATTGACGTTTCATAAGAGCCGCTAAGGTTTTCTTCGTCATGATAGCCAAATTTATGGTATATACCTCCGTTTGTTCATCATTGTGACGGACAATCACGTGAATTTTTAGGTTTTCTAGAGATATCTGTGTAAAGTTACATTTACCACAAATATACCCGATTAGTTGACCTTTAATGTCCTTAGGAGGTGGAGGTATGTCCAAGTTAAATGGGCAGGGAACAACATTGACACATTCCGGACAAAGTTGTTTGTATTCTCCTGTATGCATGCTAACCACGTGCCAAAAGAATGTTTCCAGTAGAGCCCTTTTACCATACATTTCTTTGTAACAAAATCGACATATGAATTTGTCCGAAGGCAATCTACTCATAGCATTGAAGTCAATATCTTCGCATTGTTCAATGGCTTCACGAGCGACAGTTGCATTCATCCTAGACAGAGGTATTTCAGAATGAGGATGTTGCTTTTTATAATGATGAACTATATCACTACCGCTATATTCACATAATCGACATGGGTATATAGAAATATTTCTATAAAAGCAATACGTTTTGTCTACAAAACAAGACATATCTGGAAAATTTACTTTCTTTTGTAGTAGTATTTCAGGTGAAAGCTCACGTTCCAAAGATTCTTTCTGTTTTGCATCAATCTTTTTCTTTCTTTTAGCTATAACTCCCGACGACCAGCCTGAACGCCGCTTTCGTTTCTTTTTCTTTAAATCGGCTAATGCTTCAGTACTTTCAAAACTTTTAGATGATGCAAGAGATTCGCTTTCTGATTCAGAACTATTTTGCATGTCTTCGCTTCGTTGTGATGTAGTAATATCGCTAACTGAATCTGATTCGAACGCGTAAGGATCTAATTCGTCCTGAGAAATTTTAGTTTTTGATTTTGGACCTGGCTTACGTCTTATTGGAGGTGTTTTAATTATTTCTGTTTTATTCTCTACATCAGAATGACTGTCGTTAATAGTCACTTTAGGTTTTGGTTTCGGCCCAGGCTTCTTTTTAATTTTGAGTGCCTTGTCTTCGAGAAGTTCTTTTTCTTTAAATTTCTGCAGAACGACTACAGGTTTTGGTTCGATTACAGTTGTGTTTTCCCCGTCTTGGTTTTCTTGTTTTTCATCAACAAGCTTCGCCAGGCGGCACATCCTTATTCCCGTAGCATTTAAAATATCGTCACTTATAAACATTTCTTTGATATCATTCTGTAGTTGCCTTAGTTCTCTTGACGCTTTAGGTTTCCCAGTGTTTAAAACAGTACCTGATCTGGTAACTCGTTTTGCTTTGGTTGACATAATTTTCTTCTCTGCTTTTAATTTGCTTTTCCGTGCTTTTTTGCCCGGTCTACCTCTTGTCAGTTTTTCAGACGTGGTGTTAACGTGTTCTTCTGTGCCTTTGTCGTCACTTGCTGGTTCATCTGGTACAGGAGCTTCATTTGCTTTTTCTGTGTCTTTTTCAAAAGTTTCTAAATGTACTTCTGTAGAGTCAATCGGTAGCACTGGCTTATCTTGAGGTTTTTTGATGTCCTCAAGTTCAGGCATTTCATTTTGGTTTGATATTCCCTCCGTTTCATTTTTATCTAAGTCATCATTAGTGTCCTCTTCATCAGACACTAACTCTTTCAGTTTCTCCAATTTCTTCATCATTTTGTCATTATCACTCGACTTTCCTCCCAGCATACAAAGTAACTCGTTAATTTTAGATTTATTTTGTAATATAGAAAGCAGGTTGCTGATGGAACCGATTTCAGGTGTGCCGTTGTTATTTAAAGAATTAAGCACCAAGGTATCTTTGATACCAGCATCATGAGTAGATGTTATCTCCGAGTTTTCGGTGTGCAATTCGTTGGTACTATCTGGTAAGCTTGCCTCACAAGGTTTGTGTTGAACTACGTCACTCGTATTTATTGTACTATCAGGAGTAGAACTTAGATCGTCTACTGTGTCTACGAATTTATCATCAATTTTTTGCTCCGCACTTTTAGTCGTAGATACAATAGATTCATTAGTCAGTTTATTTGAATCATTTGAACTGTTCTTTTCCACCAACTCTGATACTTTAGAAACTTTATTTATTTTTTTTGTTTGAGCTTCATTGATCTTTTCTTCTTCAATTTTTGTAAAATTTTTAATTGGCACATTCGACGGTGCCGAATCAGGACCTGCTAGTATTGAAGGATCTATTTTCTTTTCATGTAAAGAAGACGGCGTATCAACTGCATCTTTTAAATCATTGTTGATAAGTTCTGATATATCTTGTAAAGATTCTTCCACCGATCTCTCTTTCGAATTCTCGGCTTCGGGGCTGTTAATATTTTGTAGCATATTTTCAAGGCTTAACTCTTGAGTAAACTGATTATTGTCTTCAGCAGATTTATTGTTTTCCAATTCTTTATCCAGATCTGCAATTAAATCATTTATATTTGCCACAACGTCAACAACCCCGCTATTACCTGGAAATATTCCCAGATCGTAGATACCAAAACCGGAATTAAATAAATCAATGTTTTCAGTCGTTTCTCCAATTTTAGATTGATTGTTATCAACTTGTTTAACTTCCTTTACTTCAGAATCGGAGTCGGATTCAATAATGACCTTTTTAATTTTTCTGGTTTTATGACTAGAAACTTCAACCGACACTTTCGACGCAACATCACATTTTTTAGATGATCGTGTTAGTCTCTTGGTACTGTCATCCGATACAGTTGCTTTGTTATCAGTCTTATCACATATGCCTTTATTTTTTTCGTTAGGTCGATTCTTGTCCTCCGTAATCTCAGACCTGTTCTTCTCTTTCTTATTAACTTTTGCCGTGATAATTGCTTCTTCGAGTTCTTTGTTCTCGCTTGTCATTTTCTTGTCTACAAATTTGATCTTCGCATCTTTAATTTTTTTCTCAGATACGTTACTTTTTTCTACTGTTGGCTTTTTTTGTTGTTCTTTTACTTTGGGATCTTCTTTGGTCATTTCTTCAACTGGACGTTTGATTTTAGGAATTTTATAATTCCTAACTCCGTAGCCCGAACCTAGTATAGTACCTTTAGCTATATTATCGCTAGAATACACAATACCATAAGCATTTTTCTTACTTTCATGCCTGTTTCTAGTTTTATTGTCATAATGTTGATCTCGCTTCACTCTGGGATCTCTCTGATTCTTTCGAGGGGAGTAAGCGGTCTTAGTACTACTCTGCTGATGTTGCGTCACGTGTTGCATTTGGTGAAGATCTTTCCGACTACGGACAGTTTGGGAGGTGCCTTTTTGGTCATTTTTTTTGGTGTGTTCTTTTTTATTGTAACTGGCACTGTAAGATTGAAAATCTGCTTTAATCTCGTTAAGAGTTTTTTGTTGTTTATTGTCTCCGAAATCTCTGCTCATACTACGTGCTCGTACAAAGTTCACCATTCCCTTGTAATCTAGTGAATCATGAGTAGCGGCTGTAGGCTTAGGGAGTTTTCTTCCCACACTAGACTCGCGCTGCGTTCGCCCAATACTAGGTTCTCGAGTTAACGATCTACCGACACTCGCAGCACGCTGGCGTCGCGATTCAAAAGATTGATCAAATACTGGCAGATGCAAACCCTTTTCGTTTAGGAATTCTTGGAATGTTCTATTTACGCTAGTATCAATTATAAAAGAGCGTCCAGATTGAGGTTTGACCGACAACGTGTTATCGTTATTGGCATCTTGTTTTTTCCTGCGCATATGTGGAGGTACATACGACGAGCGGCGGTATCTACCGTCGGAAGGATGAGTACGTCCAACACTGGAAGCTCGTTGATAATTCATTTTTGAATCGTCGAAATTTTCTTGACAACTGTCATTAGCATTATTCCTGTCGGTTTCTCGATGAGTATAGCATCTTTCACTATCTTTGGGTAAACCACGTCCAACGCTTGACTCTCGATGCGGCGTCCGCTCCCTAATTTGTCTTCTTTGTTCATAATTCTTATCCCTATCATTTCTGCCTATACTCTGTTCGCGACTGTAATTGTAATAAGAACTTGAATCCTTGTGCGACCTGTTACAGTGATCGGACTTTTTTCGATCTCTATAGTAATCCCGATCTTTATCATCATCGCGTCTTTGGGATTCGTACTCAGTAGTCCTATTCAGCCTTGGATCTTTTAATTTCTGAACAGGTTGATTTTGATGATAGTCGGATCTTCCGAACGGATGACTTGGGGTCATTGGTGCCATGTTCCTCTCGTTGCGTCCAAACGGATGGCTGGGTGTCATTGGACATTCAGATCTGCCGAAAGAATGACTAGGTGTCATCGGACAATCAGTTCTGCCAAAGTGATGACTAGGTGTCAACGATGCATCTGCCCTTCCAAAAGGATGGCTAGGAGTCAGTGGACATTCAGATCTACCAAATGCATGACTAGGCGTTTGAGGACGATCAGATCGGCCGAAAGGATGGCTAGGAGTTGTTGGACAATCTGATCTACCGAACGAATGAATTGGTGTAATTGGTGCTTCATGCCTGCCAAATGAAGGATTGGGCGTAGAGGGACAATCCACTCTTCCGAAAGGGTGATTAGGCGTCCGCGGGCAATCTTGCCGATTATAATAATCATCTCTCTGGTCATTACTGTATCTATCACTCCTAGAATGTTGATATGTGTCTGAATGATCATATCTTGAATTTTGATAGTCTAGATCTCGTGTTGAAGAACCTCTTCTGCTAGCATCCCACCGATCACTTTTGCGTTCATGTTCTTCCCAATAACATCTCAAATTATTCCCATCTCTGTCTTCTCTGTCCTCCCAAAGTATTTTACGTCCTTCATTGACTGAATCGATATTAGTCTCCCATACAGGCGTAGAAATTTCTCTTCCGTCAGATTCTCGTGACTCAAATGTTGGTAAGGGGGCATACACATGTTTTCGATTCGAATTGTCTTCTAAATCCAATGACTGGTGTGAGGGAGTCATTTCATATGTACGTGCATTGGGTGTCATACTAGGTGTCCGATTAGGTGTCATGTTGGCGTAATTTGGATGCCTTGATCTTTCCGAGTTCGAAATATATGGGTTGGGACTTTCTTTGCTCATGGGTTTATTAAAATCTCGTCTTACTCGCGGGTCCGTCAAGTGTGGTCTTTTATTTAGTTCAGATTTCGATTCGATTGGCGAAGGCACAGGTAAAAGTAACGACATAAGAGGCGGTGGAAGAGGTACTGGTAACGGTTTACCAGAGTTTGGTGATAAGATAGGCATAAGTGTTCTCATGTCGACATCAATTTTAGAACTGACTACGTTCGGTTTTATGGGATCAACAGGAATAATAATTGGTGTCGAAGAGCCAACGGTAGACACATCATCACTTTCAGGCGATTTAGGTGCAAGATTTCCGTAAATGTCGTCAGCAGAATAATCATTCTTGTCTTCTTCATCTGAACTGTCATCCAACGCTATTTTTTTTGGAAAATTAAATCTTTCACATTCTTCTTCAGTGAGCTTTAAACTTTGCTTTTTTCCATAATCATAATATCTCGGAGCAGAAACATTAGATTCATTCATAAAAAGAGAAGATGTAGATGTGGAATTTGCCTTCTGCTTGTATTTTTCTATTGATATTCTTTTTTTATTAATAATTTCCTGGGTATTGGCGACCTTAGTAACCTTAGGTTGATGTAGCAGTGGAGTAGAGCCTTCCGCGCCAGGAATAGCAATGGATTCACTCAAGATTTCATTTTTTAAAGCCTGTAGAATATCAATCTCAGACAAAACATTCTTCACAGGTGCAGCAGCTACAACGGGTTCTGTATTCAGCAGCGGAATTTCTACATTTTTTGGAAACTCTTCAGGTTCGGAGTCGTCAACTTTATTTGGAAGAACAGGTTTAGCATGTAAAAATGAATCCTCTTTCACTTCTACATCACTTTTATCGCCTGTACTAACAGCAGGTAACTTTAATGCTTCTTTACCTATAACAGGTTCACTTTTTAAAAACGACTCTTTATTTATTAATTGTGTCGCATCAGATACTTCCGACGTATTTTTTGATAATTCCATAACTTCATTTTCATGTAAAGGTTTATAAAAGTTAGCTTTGATCGTTTGAGTTTTAGTTGATCTTTCTTTAGCCTTATCTGGAGAATTTTCTGCCTCTGAAGTGCTAGACAGATCTATGAAACTACTGTCACCGTCTTTGTCACAATCTTTTGCAGCTCCTTTAGTATTTTCCAAATTTATTTGTGACGCTACAGTTTTCTTACTTTCGTCATCATCGTCAATAGTAATAACTACTTGCTTTGAAGCATTTTCTTTTAGCGAGACATTCAATCGTTTCATTTTATCTTGGACGTCATCAACTGTACGTGGTTGCATAATTTCCTTTTCTTTATCCTCTTCTGTTGGCTTCGCAAAATCAATGACATCAAACATCTCAAAATCGGAGACTTCTGTAGCTTTCGGTATTTCTTGACCTTTATCATCCTTATCCGAATTGATCACTAAGCAAATTTGTATTTTTCGAGATTGAATTTCTTTGTCAATAGAGTCTTCAGTTCCACTTGGAACTGAAGTAGCTTTGTCTTTATCGACCACGACTAAACTACCATAAATGCTTTCAATTGCTTCACTCTCACTATCGGACAATTCGCCTTCCTCAACCTCGTCCCTCTTCCTAACTTTCATAACATTCCTCTTTTTCTTAGTTTTGTAGGATTTCATTATTATGTCCGATATATCTTCGCTTGCACCGGTTTGTTTTAACTCTCCAAGGATTTGTGTTCTCAGATCACGTAAAGTAGCAATGTCAACGTCATTATCGTCGCAATTGATTATTCGTGACAAGATATCATCAGTATTCAAGGAATCCAAACTATCCTGAGGCACGTTTAATGTAATATTTAAATCCTTAGTATGTCTAGTTTCATTGGAAGACTTTTTTTTTTCCTTTTTGTAGGAAGGAGAATGCCTCTTGGGGGACCTACGAGGTGATCTCCTGCTGAACAAAGGTTTTTGTGCAGTATTTTCTTCACCAATGGACCACCGCTGACGGTTTGGCTCTGGAGATACTAACACGCGAGTATAATTACGCTTTGAACTTGACTTTTGGAGTGACATCTTTTCTGCGATTTGTACCGAAGATGATAGAGAAGGCGATATAGCTTTGTTTGGTCGTCTTTGAAACAAAGCTGGCTCCTTACTACCGGGAGTACAAATTTCCTCGGTTTCACTGCGTCTAGCTATCTCTGGTAGAGTTTCTTCTTCTTTGATCTTCTGCTTTAAAGTTACACTTTTTAGCTTGTTTCTCACAGAGATCAAATCACTGTCCGAATTCGGCGAGCTCGATGGAAATATTTCGGATACTGGTCTAATTCCCGGCAAAGTGTCTCGCTGCAAATAAAATAAATAAATGTAGCAATATGCAGTGTTAATGAAAATAGCTATTTGATTGAAAATTCATAGTCTTACCTGTTCAACCTTTGCGTACAAATTAACCAGCACTTGTTCGCATTTCAGTAAATTCTCCATTTTCATCCTACAACAAAGTCAAGAATAGATAATGAATAATTTCTGAATATTTAATTAACCAAAATAATAACAGCTCATTAGAACGAGTATGATATATGATGAGTATGATAACTGTATGATATTGAAGAAAATAAAGTATACATTACATGCACTTTTGAAAATCGGAAAATCTGAAAGAAGTATTTATTATAAATCACTTAAAAATAATTAATAAAAAGTCAAAAGAAAAGATTTGAAAGTAAAATATCTAGTTATTAAACTCTAATTTATAAAATGGCATTTCAGAAGCATAACATGGGATCAAAGTGGTAATAAGAACAAAATTAAACCTTTTCTTTTTGTCAAGGAGCAAGTCTCTGAGAGATCTGATTTTATCGAGCTGAGCCTGTCGAGGATTCGCTGAACCTGATCCACCGCTGGTGCTCTCCAGTCTTTTGATCATACTTTCCAAGAACGGTATGTACTTCTTCATCTCCTCGAACTTTCGATCGTAATCCGTGTCCATTTTGGCAGCTGCAAAAGACGTTATGATATCAGGATTTTTTAATAAAATGTAAATTAAACTATCAACAAAAAACTGAAAATAAAGAAATTAAAACTAATATTTCTGCGCTCCATTTATGGTAGGTGCAGTGCACGGTGCATATAATAGGCTCAACTCACACTGGCGCAGAGTCGAAGCGTCGCGACGCGTCATGTTTTTCCCCTATAGCATATTCATCTCTATTTTCCCATTATTAAGGTACAAATTTCTGTTATGCAAATATGGAATCGCGCGTCGCCGCCGTGGTTACTTGCGCGCAGTGACGCGTCAGACGCCGACCACACTGTGATCCGGGCGCGCTAATGCGAGAGTAGTCGCGTGGCGACGCTTCGACTCTGCGCCAGTGTAAGTTGAGCCTTACGGTATACGAAGTAGGTATTGAAAATTCAAAAGTTTCGCCTTTAGTTCCTATGATTTCATGGTCTTAATTTTACGTCATCGTGAGTCATTTTGATAAACACATTAGTCCTAATTTAGCTGATATTGCCGTTCAATAATGTAGCATGAATAAAGGCTTGGTATGCATGTGGAGGAAGAATCTATCCATGGGAGAATCCACCCAATGTAAGCTGACGTAATACGAAAACCTGTAAATTCCGATAGGAGTTAAATCAAAATTGTGAAACTTTGTCACATCGTCAGGTCAGACGATGGTGTACCAATTTAATTTAACCAAAAAAAATTCCTACCTTAATGTGTAAGTACAAAATCCGTTGTTTAAATAGATATCTACCTACATATAAAATGTGCGCCCGTGAATCTTTTCAATATTTTGGGTGACACTTTGAAATCGGTTCAGTTTCTGTTAAGACAAACAAATCGGTTTAAGAAGTCCAACATTCAATGACGATACTGATATATATCCAAAACTGGCTGACTCAGACATGACATGAAATTTTCCGTTTCTTCCTTAATATTTATTAAAACTTCAGTTCGTTATGTTTGAACAAAAATTTTAAAACTTAAATCGAAAATCAAATTAGATCTATGTTTTCGGTAATGTGGCTCTTAAGTTCGTGCACCAAGCTACGGAAGGGGTTTGGGGCAAATTTTTGGTCATGATAATTGACCTACGCAACACTCATGACGCAGAGATTAGTAGATCGGACATTTACAGTACTCAACATTAAAAAATGTCGCTTCACATAAGCATTCACGACGAATATGTTCGACCAAGGAAGTAATTCCACCTTACCCTTTTCGGCCGCCAAACAGTAATATGAGCATTACTGCGTTCCGGTTTTGAAAGGTAAGGGTGCTGGTGAAATTACAGGCACGTGAGACTTGTCAACACTTGTCAACTATTGTCAGTGCCCCTAAGATCTTTGCGATTGAAAACTCTTGAGTGGCACTGCAACTTTTATGGATAGACGTGTCGCTTACCACGAGGCGCACGACTTACTGGCCCTGTCACTTGGTATTATAAAAAAAATCGACATGGCGCCACTTTTCCATACTATGTAGTTCAGCAAAGTTGATGTCTTGCCACCGTGTTATTTTGGCGTGCAGGCCACTGTGGACTGTAGCGTCCACCCGCACCTTGATTATGCTCATCAACTAGTGCCAATTAAGAGCGTTGTAAGGGCATGATAATATTTTTTAAAATCTCACAAACAATCGACATTAATCGTTGTAATAAGGCATCAATTTTACTGATGACGTACGATCACATAAAAAACAAATATATTTCATAATTAAACAAAGTGTCAGTTTTCGTTAATGGAAATTAAAACCCCTTTTCAAACGACTTATGGTCCTATTTCAAATTAAAATCCTCCAATTTTAAACATGTGGATCAAACATGGGTCAAATCGCAAGCCGATCTTCTATATAGGTAAGCGTTATTTTTGCACCATCAAAACAGATCACATAACAAATATGTGTTATAAATGTAATTAACCGCAATATCGGTTAATTAAATTTTAAATTACAATTTCTAGACTATTTTAGTTACAAAATAAAGATATTATAGAATCGAGATTATCATATAATTATTTCATATCATAAATTATTTCTAGTATTTCTGGTTTTTGTGCCTATTCGATGGTCCCATTAATGGAGGTGCGTGGTTTACGAATTTAGTCAATGAAATATTATATAAGTAAACAAATAATACAACGCTAATTGGAACCAAAATAATTTATACGACTTCTTCGAGTAAGAAACATTTTTCTAAAAAAAATATAATATTACTAACTCTGCATATTTTTAATGCGATACTTTGAGAACTTCAATAAAATGTCGTCCTGCATTGATGCGTTTAGTCAACCTATTTAACAGGTTGTCGACGTTGGCCATCGAAACATTATACATAGTCTACGATTTCGGAAATTCAATGAACTGCTGTATTTGCGATGATGAATTAATAAAATAATAATGTAGGTATTACAATGGTTGGTTAAGATATTTAACCTTACTAAATAAGCAGTTGCTAAATGCAATTACGTTGGTGGGTTATATCGTAAAATTCGTTTCTTAACTAAATAACGATGCTAATTTAAGCTGAGAAATAAATCACGCGTGTATATAATCAAAAATTAAAGTAAAATGATACACAAGTACATGCATGACCTTGGTTGACCTACCTCTATTTGCTTAAAAGCGAATCCGTTAAAAACACCACTATTTCATAAAAACTTTTAGTAAAACAAATGTAACGTTGATTATTATTATCACAGAACAAATGTATATTAAGCACTTTATCGATAAACAATGCAAAAAGTGCAAAAACGTTCTATCAAATAGGGCTGTTCGGCAGTTACCAGTGCCGTTTCCCTCACGTGTCGTTGTATTCATGTCGCGGCAGAGAATGAAAACAAAATGGCGACCGGTCCTATAGCTTTAGTGAACAGCAGATGTGCCATTTTAAGTTTTTTTTTTGTTCGCAAAATGTAATTTCGAATAATTGTAAGATAGTGAAGATAATGAAAAATAAGTTTTTATTCATATCACAACATTAAATCATTCTATGACACTAAAAAAAAAAGATAATTAACGGCAAGATGCGTCATAATGACATCGATTTTGGAGACAGATTTGTCTAATACTGTGTTGTTTTATGTTTCGCGTTATTTCCATAAGTACTATAAATTCCTTTAAATTTTAATACTATTAGGAATTGCTTTAAAAAATAGGTAAGCATGCATATCGAAATTTCCTAATCCTGAAAAAGACACTAATACCCGGCGAGATTCAAAAACGAACGTAGGTAATACTAATAAGTGCGTCAATTTTTTTTAATTGGCCTTTTCATAACGTGTTCGCTTTTATTTTTACTTACTCTACTACCTACTTAATATAATACCTACGCTTTCTAGATCAAATGCAGACATTTAACAAATTTAATAGGAACATAGTCCAAAACAACAACTTATTTTCAAGAAAAGCTAAATATTAGTAATGACAATGAATGATCGAAGTGTTCACATCCGGAAATGCAGCACGTACCTGTGGGTCCAAATCATTTTAAATTTGACAAATGGCCGTAGGCCAACTTGCTGATCCGGACAGCTAAGAAATTAGAAAACAATGTTATTGCTCAATACCTGTGTTACCTTTCTTAAGCAGTGACGTAATATTTAAGTAATAACGCAATCTTATTAATAGAAAATTATCTTTGAGGGTCAGATATCCAACGAACCTATATCTAGCAATAATATTCACTTTACTAATTTCATCGAAATATCTAACCCGATTTTCTGCGCTGCGCTGTTATTATTCTCACACTTGTTCGGCGAACGGAGCACTATAGTATCGCGCGATGCAGTCCTCACTCGATGAAATACCACGCCATAACGCATTCCTCTAACTCAGCCATCCGCTCGACCTAAAAACGAAATCCCGAAACGTACCAAAACTTCCACTAACCTTCTCGGTTTCTATCAATACAGAATACCAAATCCTAATCACTTATAATTATGTAGAACGCACGACGACAAGCACATCTTGTTCTAATGCGCAAAATGGCGACTGTAGTATTAAATTCCTGTCGTATTCTTTGTTCGACGCTCACGGGACGGGAGGGCGACTGTGCGGCTGTAACATGCAGAGGCGAGGCCAGCGGCCCACGCCCCACCGCCAGTTGGGGGCTCCGCTAGCGCCACCAAGTAAAAATCATTCGTCGCCCGTTCGCCGCCACCATTGCACGTTACTCGTATCCGTCGTCCAATTATTATTACTACGTAGTGGTTCGTGCGGTGCACAAGTTAAAATCTCCCCGCGCCTATCCTCGATCGACTTCAGTCTCGAACGTTCTCTCACCGAAAATACGCGTCAAGTCAAATCAAAGACAATTCACATTTTGTGACGTCTTTTGTTTCCGTATTCCATCGGCCAGTTACTTAACAAAGGTTATATGCGAATGAAAACATTATTTTGTCAAATAGAATGTCAAAAGGTCAAGTGTCAGTGTGTACCTAGTGTTTGAAATATATAATAGGTGAGGGCATCGAATAGGATTACACTTACAACTCCTATAATAATGTTCCCATCATGTAATGTTTGTGTTAATGCTACAATTTCGTCATATGTGTTGTCTATACAGGTGTGGAAATATCTAATTATTTATAGGTCATGTGTCCTTGTTGTGTAGTGTGGTTCACGTTCCTTTCACATGCTATATAATTACAAGTCTCGCCAACGGATCCGTGAATAAGAATAAATGCCATAGTTATTGTTACGCGCTGATAAAATACAATATAACAAGATGACGAAGCTACGTTCTAAGCTAGCAAATGCAATGCATAGCAACTGCTCGGGTATCTATTTTTAGTTTCACAACACGCCAACCTGTATCAAATTCTGTACTAGAGAAGTAAGTCAATAATATAGGTACCTGTATAATCGTGATAACCTGTTTGCTTAGGTACCTACGTAAGTAAATCGTAAACAGTCGTAATTATCTCGGGTCTAAAAGTTACCACCTGACCATGTCTTACGTTTGTTCTGAGTGTCTTAGAATTTTTGTTTTGCTATGGTCCTTTTACTAAAATTTCATTGCAGTAATACATACATATAGCACAACCAAAAAAATTTACATTCATTACTTTCATACCGGTATATTATGACGTAAAGCCATTAATTAAACCTCTTCGTTTTCAGTAGAACATCATAATTAAAATTACAAATTAGGAATTTTTAATGGGATATTCAAAGCCATAATAATCCAAGGAAAATGTCCATAAAATAAACCTTATACTCCGAATTAGGTATATGTATACAAGTAGGTACTTTGCCAGGTAAAAGCCAAAATCAACATCCATTATAATTTTACCGTTAACTTTCTTCCAACAACACCGCACCGTAAAACTGGTTTATAACTGCAGAAATAATTTCAACCGTATTTCCAGGCACAAAGATCGAAATTGCTTAAGTGGTGCTTAATTGTGTAAGAGAAATCAAGGTTTCCCTTGAGAAGTCTATTGCTTTCGTCACATGTAATAAATAAATGGATCAGTACAGGGAATTTTACTAAGATTAAATAGGTACCTACTACAAGGGTATACCTACTACCTTTGTCGTACTTTGTTGAGAATCGCAATTAGTTAAGTTTTACTTAACTTACTTACTTGCGGAAGTGACTTTGTCAACAAATTAATTAAATATGAGCATTAAAAATCTAAGTCTAAAGTATTAAATAACCATTCATTTGAAACCAAATTAACCAACCAATGTTACCGAATTTGCCTTAGTTTTTCTAACTCATACAAATTAATTACATACCAATACTTTAATTAATTAATGTAATAGGTATTGATTAAACTAGGGCCTAATAATTTAAATTTACATTTATATCTTCGTTCCCCACCTAGTCCCATTAAATTATATTTCAATAATAATAGACATAGTAGAAAAATACATTTATTTCCCAATAATTATATAGGCTTTGCTCTATTATTATCACAAAAATAAATTAACAATATCAGTTATTTTCGAATGATTTTCTTCTTAATTTAGTTTTTAATCACTTCAATTGAAAATGAAAAAGGAATTAAATCGTTGAGGATTTTAAAATAATAGTTACAAATACACTGCTCCGAAGTCCTTGAAGTTGAAAGTTTTACCAATAATAATATCAACGTACATAGATACATACCTACGCGTTCAGATCAAAATTATTCTGTCTATGCTGTGAACACGATAAACTCGCCGTAAAGTGCCTTTGTATCGATTTTGACCTCGTTGCGTGACGGCATCACTGCGCATGTACTGCCCGATAAGGCAACGGCAAATCGTCGCCGCACCCTTCACCTCAGTCCCTCAGTCGGCTTCATAGCTTGAAACATAGCGGTTGCAGACCGTTTCGTCCTCCGCAACGAAATACAGTCGGACACTTTTTGTTTTGCTTTTATTTATTATTTTTAGTTTTAGTCTTGGTGATTTGCGTCCGAATAATACGCTTAAAATATATGTTATTTCCAATGTCTCGACAATTCCGTAAGTCATATTTTTAAGGTGAATAATTAGCCTAAAGTCATCGAGTACATAACCTACTCGATATCTAAAGAAAACAAATATGAAAACTAGTAGGTAAGTAAAAAATAAGATGCGCTTATTGTGAATTTTGAATACGAAAAAAATGTACTCATTTATGAAAAATAAAGACATGTTTTCTAAATGTTGAATATTATTTTAAATCCCACCTAGAATTTTGTTTTACAAAGTTAATATTTAGTATAATTTGCATTGTATAATAATCAGTTTAAGTCAGTTCAAAACAATGACCAATTAACCTGGTGGCTACCAAGTTGTTAGGTTGGAAATTTTATTTCTTTGGGTATATTTTTTCCCATCGTACCATTGACTTACAATTATATGGACGTCGGGTCCGCGCTAAAAAGTGTCCGAACTTATAGGGCATTAAAATCGTATACAGAGCGTCATTCACGCTTTAGTCTTCGTTTGTTCGACTGACAGCGAAGCAAGCAAAATTAGACAGTACTGCGATGACATTACAATTTAAATCTAACGTTTTAGCTTTTTCATATTCCTTTACATGTCACTACGTTTAAATAGGTTGACTTGGGACATTTTTTTCGTGGTTTTTGTATTAGACCCGTCGTCCATATAATTGTAAGTCAATGCATCGTACCCACTGTACTTATTGTTCTCTTCGTGTACCTCCATTTAGAGTGGTCAATACAGTAGGCCTTTATAAATAAAACGAACACAAACTTTCAAATTTTTCTTTAATCAATAATTTAAAGCTTACAGGAGACATTTCTTGTTGTTAATACGTAAGAGCCGTCACAGCAGCGCTTTTTACACGATATTCACCTCTGATAAATATCGTAACATGTCGAACTGAAATTTCGCCACTATTTAAAACAAGGTAAGAACCAAAATAGATGCGGCATTGAAAACTGGCCCTCCAAATGACTAGGTCTAAAATTAGTATAGCGATAAAGACATCCACATTATAAAGCCACACACATATTTAGATTGATCAAAATTTTACAACAGTGTACGTAATAATTTGTAGAATTTCGACTGTTATCAGTGTGTGGTTTACTGTAAAGACAAACGCACTATAGAAGTAGCCAGTTCTCAATATTCGCAACGTGAACGCATCTAATGCGTTCGCCAGTCGTGGTCGCAAAGAACACTTCCATCTCCAATACCGACAACACTTCATGATTCTTACATTACTATCTCTCAAATTCATTTCAAAATGACGTCTAAATTAATTGAAACCTGTGCTAGAAACTAGGTGACGTAGTCAAGTAATAATCATGCAGAAAACATTCAGAAACAGTCGAATTTAAAGAATATGCAGGTGAGAAACGCGAAGAGAAAGCTCTTTTGTCCGTGCTCCTTTTGCGTAATTCTACCGATAGTAAGGGCAATGTTTGAATAAGGTACGCAGCAAATGCTGCAAAGCCAGACGTTTTGTTTCTCGTTCAACACCCAAATTAGATAATATTGTAGGCAATAAATTGGGAGTCGTGTTGTATGGACCCTTCGTCTCACTGCAAGTGGTTATTAACTCGAAAAATCAATTAAAAAATTGAGACAGACATGACCAAAACTTGATGACAAATTTTATTAAGGTCCAACCTGACCACGTCCCTTTTGTCCCATCTTGTAACTAAGAAGGTTACGCAATCCATTCTTATGATCTATTCTGCGAAGGCAAAGGCGAAATGAGGAACTATTCTATTAAGTATTCAAGTGTTGCTTGACTTGTTGAGCTAACGACTCGGTATGGACAGTAACAAATTACGCTAATGCCCATGGGTCAACTTATAATTGACATCCAATCGCCGTTTTAGCTCAGGTCTCAAGGTTTTCAAAAAAAAATTAAAGGAAAATATTCGTAACTTGCTAAAACCTCGTATAGTAGAGCAAATCGTAAAACTTTTAAAAAAATATATTAAGGAATTTCAAACATTACGCTCGCGGGCGAATGTGCAAAATTCCAAAATCGTTACAAAAGTCGCGATTGACAACTTAAAAGGTCACCCTAAAATGTCTAGTCCGCAATAAGTGGAGACGATAGACATGGAAAATGACGAATAGCTCTTTATTTTTATAACGAAAAAATCTCCTCCTCACGAAAATGACGTAGTAACAAAAATGCTTACAAACACAACCATAGTCATCATACATGTACATATAGTTCTCTCTCACATTCACACACATTCACGCACAGCTGTGTCAGCCGACAGATGTTAAAAGTACGGAACGCAAGCCATTTGTAATCTTCCCAACTGAACCAATCAGCTTCCGTTCAGTACCACTGTCCGTCATGGTTACAGGGGATAGGATTTCGCTCCCATTATTAAAGTCACATCAAGGGAGCTGACAGAGGGATGTATAAATAAAGATGTAGAGGCCATTAAGACATGTCACAACTAGATTCTACATTTAAATATAGCTATAAAGAAATACACCAAAACGGAACACCCTTTATCAGCTTCTACCTTTTCAATTTGTCAATTAATAAGACTGGATATGACTGCTATTTAAATCGACACTCCAGACACCGAAGCCTCGAGAGCATATGATCGCCAGATGTTACATAGCCGAACTTGTTTGAACGGTACAAGACAAGAATAGTGTAAATTCCAGAGAACGCAATCTAAATTTATTCAATATTCTTATTTTATAAATATGCACCTATTAATTTCGTAACAAAAAGTAAAATACAGGTTTAATTATAGATTTGTATTATTATGTTCACAAGCATCCTCCTTGTCATAAGCAAACCAATTTGCCAGCGCTAATAAATCTTCAGACCTTTTCTGACTGTTAAAGAAAGAAACAGATGCATTTAATATTAAAATAAGTTTAGTTTGTGTTCTTGAGACCGAAAAAGTTGTATTAAGTAGCTATAAACGTCAAATTTTTTTAACAATATTGAAAGTAGGTATTTCTTATCATGTTATTTGCATTTTTTGCTCTTTTAATTTATTACTTGAGGTAATTTACTACATTTTTATCAACTCTATGCAATGTTAAATGTTATTATTTCGATAGCGATATTGATGTATCACGAGAATAATTCTAATATCGCTTCTACATCGACGGCCACAAGAATTTACCTTACGTGAATTATTTAACTGGATTTACGGAATATTTTTTTTTGAAAATTCACACTAATATTATAAATTTTTGAATGGAAGTCGAAGAATATTTTGTGTAAATTTTCAAAAGACTGAAGCTAATTTTGCGGCATATATAAAGCTCGATAGTGACAGGTAAAAACGCAGCGTTTTTGTAACCAAATATGGTGTTTGGCATTGTTTTAAGCTGTCATGACCGAGCTACTTGCCAATAAGTCGATAGATTACCAATGGATATTTAAATTTCAAAAATCAATGGGCGAAACAAATTTAGAAAATTTACCCGTGAATAACTTTCGTTCAAAAACTTCAGGAAAAAGCAAAAAAAATAAATCAACTTCTCGATACCAAGTAACAGTTGATCTTTGTATGGGAAGAAGAAAAACCATTTTGTGATTTCCTAACTAATTTAAGAACATGAATTGTTCAGAATTTATGATTACAAGACTCGAATTTTGTCTTTAGAATTGTCGTAAAGCAAAACAATTCAAAATAATTTTTTTCCCATTGTATAAACCTATCTTATTCAATTCCACTTATCACTCGCCACAAGGATTTAAAAAATATCCTCCCTTTTGTAAACTCCGTCGTGGTAGGGTAAAACAATATAATTGGGAAAAATAACAAGTTTCATGTCTAAAAATATTTGTTCGTCATTGCAGCCCATTCTATTGGTGTTGAAAACAGAAAATGGTGTTCTTAGACAATGCTATTTTAAAGTCTGTAAAGTCTTGAGAGAAAATTCCAAAATGTACTCTACACGACAAAACTGCGTTTACAAAAGACGATATTACAGAGTCAATATTGAATAAAATATCGCAGTCTAAAGCTGGATTGAAGACAGAGTAGATTCAGTTGCCAAGCAGGAATTTAATATCGAGAGATCTTAAATTCTCTCTTCTCTCTTTCACAGGTAAAAGTGTTAACACTATTAACCATTGTTACTGGATTATATTTTAGAAATTTAGGTATTATGGCATAAGTGGTGTGTTCATAATTAAGAAAAAAATCTGTCCAATCAGAACTCAATTAGGTTACAAAAAGGAACACGAGTTAGCTTTTGTAGTGTCGAAGGGTAGGTCACAGGACACGATTTGACATTTATAATCTTAATTCCCTTGTGATGACGTCATGAGCTCTAATTTGGTGCTGGAAATTCCACTACCCATACTGATTTTGGCAACCATATATATTGTGACTTCTGTACGGTATGACAAATGACACAAGGATTTCCTTATGTCAAAAAGTATCCGAATGAAGTTAGGATAGTGGACCGAAGTATAGAAAAACAATAACCCCCTATCGATTTTAGCGCAAAACAAAAAAAAACATAGAATAAGCACTGTAGGTGATACTGGAATTACAATTTAGCCTCTAAACTTGTACGAGCAGACAAAAAACAACACATCACCAACCACATAGAAAGAGGTGATGCCCTTGTAAACTTTAAAATTTGAATTTCACAATATCCGAATAGTAACTTAGTTCCATTCACCATCCGCCAATTCATTTCTCTTACTTTTTTTACTCTAATAAATAAATAGGACTTCTTTTAACATTCTATATTGATGGATGCAACTAAGGTACTCGGTTTAATTTCACGATGCTTCCTCCCCTCTAGGTATATAAACGGTTGTAGCGGGGTGTCGTCGGGCTCAGTTGCGGACGGGCGGCGCTGGTGAATGGTGGTGTCGCTCGAGGTCCTCAAGGGAAAGAGCGTTAGGGACATGCACGGAAGGCAGTTTGCCAGCGGATGCACGAGCCAGGAGCTCCGGTGAGAACCATCTAGCTAACTGGTTGTCTCCGCCTCCGGTGCCGCCGCTGCCGCCCATTTCTGTAATAGAGTGTTAGCTGAACAATCTACGGGTGGTGTATATGTACATTTCGCACCTTCCACTACTGGCCATGGGTTTCTTTGAAATCTGGAGGTCTACTCTCGTTCTCCATCCGACATCCGTGCTGAAACAATTACTTTTAATAAGTAATATTCGACCAAATCGAAATACAATGTCAAGTATGAAACTTCATTCGCATCATGAAACTTCTTAACTTGGTCGGGTTTTACTTATTTCAAAGTAATCCGTTTCGGATGGAGAACGGAAGTAGCTGATCCAGCGAACGTATTCGCGATCAGTTATGACAATTATCGAGTCCATATATCGACCCCTCCTACGTAAAGTATCGTATGTCGAAATTGCCAAATTTACAGGGGAATGTTTTAAAGTTTTAAATTCACGGAAATGAGCGTGACAGGTGACTTCAGCATTTCTCAGTTTTATTCGGCAAAGCTCGTTATTCACATAGAGTGATCATCTAATAGATCATCTAACCAATATCTAGGATTTTATAATACTCTATGTGAGTAACGGAGCTTTGCCGAATAAAAGTGAGAAATGCTGTAGTCACGTGTTATACTCATTTCAGTGAATTTAGAACTTTAAAACGCTCCCCTGTAAACTTGGTAAGTTCGACATACGATACTTTACGTAGGAGGGCGTCGATATGCCATGTCGAAGGTGACAAAAAAAATATAACAAAATTTTATATATAGTTTATTAGGTTTTTATATAAATTTACCAAAGAAATGTTACTTGTTTTAAATTTTAGTGCCGTTTAGAATTTTCAATCACAACGGTCTTAGGCACTGCCACTGCGCTCGTTATCCTGAGATAAGTTGAAAAGTCCCATGTGCCGGTACTGCTTCGCCACAGAAATAGGTAAGGTAGTAGGTAGTACTTCCCTAGACGAACTCTTTCGCAAAGAGCTCTACTGCTACTCAAAACTGCTACTTAAAGTAAATTATGTTATATGGCCCCTTCGCCTTTGAATTGGTGTGATTTCAGAAGAACTATCGTGTAAACCAAAACGCTCTATCAAGTTTTGTAACTTCATTGCAACAAGAATCTGTGATCACCATGCAAAACAAATACATTGATTTAATAATATTCAAGCAATTTATACTATTATAGTAAACTTATTTTGTAAAGGACAACTATAATGCATAGTTAAAATTCTTTATAGCTCAGGCCACACAGACGCAGTACCGACCACGTCTGTTGGAAAAGCGGTCTGGAGCAGCACAATTTTAAAACTTAATTAAAATCGGAATGTAATTTTAAAACAGGACGTAAATATTTTAAAACAGTCGTTACTACGTAAAACATCTCCCCTGAAATGGCGCTTTGACCCTTCTATAAAACTAACATCTTATGTACAAAGTAAGTTAAACATGTTAATTAACCTTAAAATTATAGAAAACCTGAAAAATCCTTGTTGCAGCGTTTTCTTTGCTTTCACATTACAGTGTATTATTGGTTTGACACTGCAGAGAAGTTCATACCCGACCAGCAGCCCCATATCTACCAACCCTCCCTACCAACCCTTAAGGTATACGAAAAGGGCACTATGGCCTGTGCGCGCACAGGAACCTTACAAGTTCAGGTTCCGACCCCAGGTCAGCCAGTGTACATGGTTGGATCCGACCAGCAGTGGAAAGTATTTGTGATGTACAAAGACATACCATTGAGGCTCCTCTGGTGCGATTGAACGAGCAGCTGGTGTAGCGTGGTGCCGCCTGCAACGCTGCGTGCCATGTTGTTCATGTTGTTAAACTAAAACGCGACATAATAGCAGTCAGTTAAAATTTTAGAAACCCCCCAACACGTCTTAAACGTGATAAGTGCTGAAGATTAGTAAATATGTCGTAAAGTATTCAATATTAACCAGCTGCTCTATCTTCGCTGATGTAATGTGCAAAATGTCCACTTCGGTAAATGTATTCTTAACAGACGTACAACTAGACAAAATAGTACTAGTTGTATACAAAGTAGTAATTGTTGTTCTCAAAGGGGAGAAAGTGACCGATTGCCAACGAGTGTGTCGTTGGGAATCGCACTTTCATCCGAGTGGATGCATATGTGTACCTACGAGGAAAACAAAAAACTTAAACTTTATTCATTGAAATTTATATTACAGTACTTTTTAACATACAATCGAAAGACATTTTTTTTTGCGTTTTTTCCAGTAAAATACGATATTTTCGGAATAAGACGGCGCATTTTTCTCGCTTTTCCAATTGTAAAAACTCTTCATAATAATTTGTCTTGTTGTATTTATTTCTGAATTTCTTAGGCAATAGCATAAGATTAATTTGTAAGTGTATTAACAAAATGGACTGTATAATGTCTGTAATAAACGAGTTTTATTTTACTTTTTATTTTGTTTATTATTCAAAAATGTGAAAACGATGAGAATGTATTTAATTATTTCATTAAAAAAACTAACTCTAAACTCGGTGTGGAAATTAACAGTCATTGTTTTATGTTTACACTTATTTTACCACTGATTGACTCTTTCGTAGTCAATAGTCAAGTTTATTTTTATAGGAATAGTTGAGAGAGAAATGGCGTGCTTTTGAAGTTACAACTACAGTCTTTACAAAGATTATTTTTAATGTAAGTATATTATGAAGAAAAAGCGAAGAAATAGTGATGAAGAAAGTTAGAACTGTATTTCTTATCTTAAACAAAATTACAAAATACTATTTTGAAAATTCCAATAATTACTAATTCAAAGTTATTGTGCAAAGTGATAGAAGATAACATGGGTTAAGTGAAAAAGTAAGGTGTAAGTTACTTAAGAGAAATTGAAAACATAATGTATTAGAACCACTATGGAAAATATTACTGAGTATCCCGATAATTAAACGACATGGCTCAAAGGAGTTGATTCCAAGCCAAAACTCTAATAAAAAAAAACAGGAATAGTAGAAATATTATAACATTGGTAATAATTTTTCAAAGAAATAACGTTATGCGACCGATAGACTATGGAAGAAAAAAACAATGGAAGTGCCAGAAGCCTTGTTTACTATCTGAACAGCAGTCGCCAAAATGCGCACAAACAAATGATAAACATTACGAAATCTTGATAATGATTGGTCATAGTTTATAAATTAAAAAGAAGTAACAAATTCTGGATTGTTAATATAATTTAAACTTCACCCAGTCGCCATGTCGCTGAAAGTTCAATACCTTTACTGCAAGTTACGACGTTTTAATTTTATATTGAAATTTTATTAAACGAACTTGCCATTTTGCGGTCAGTAGCTGGATTACGACGAAGGATTAACATTTGAATCAATTCGATAAACAGAACATTTAAAATTTAATAAAATAACACTTACCGATTATATGAAATATTACTACGGGTGATATTCTTGGTGCGGCTAACATTTTTGCACTCCAAAACAGCACATTAAGGCATTGTTTGCGGGAAAGAATGACAGACCCTACCATACGAAGCGAAAATGGCGGACTAGGTATGTGGTAGGATAGGTCTTTCGAAACCATCGAGTATATAATCAGAAATAGAGACGAAATGTCATTTAATTTATTTGAAAACTATTCTGCCAAAGCATTATGGTGACAACTGTGCTCCGATTGGCCAGCCCGAAGTCGAAACAATTGACGGGTTTTGTCACTTGTTTCACTTCAAATCGACTAGTTTAACTTGAGCTTTGTTATAATGGACGAAAATTTAAAAATTACATATTTAATTACCGATGAAATGTGATTCAGTTTTGTAATTAGATGTTTCGCTGTTTTTCCCACACCACCGAATGAAACCCCCCTATCCTTATTACAATAAATACAGAATATTTTTGGAATATACGGAGGCGTACACAGGATCAGTTGTTGGCTCTGTACTATTTCAGCTTTCTAATTTGTGATTTCAGAGCAAACGAGAGTTGATATTTAAAAGTAATATAAGGCCCATATGCCTGATGAGATGCCAGGGACGGTGGCCCTTATTTCGTCTCTATTTCTGGTTATATACTCGATGTTCGAGACCTAATGTTGACACGCGTCAGACGCTAAATAACCACTTCTACAGTATTTACTGTTCTGTGGACATGACATTTTACGAAGTGTACATTCTGCACCGAAACGCTGTAAGGTGGTCATGTTTATTAAACAAAAAAGGACCATCTCACAAATACCAACTTAAAAAAAAACTATATATATAAATGAACTCACCGAAGCCGGTACTTGCTGCCTCTGTTGTGAGTGAGGGAACGGACGGATTCCGGCTACCATTTGCTGCAACAATACAAGGTTTTGCATAATCTAAAAATATTTCCCTCAGTGGAAAGATCGACCCCTCCTACGTAAAGTATCGTATGTTGCAACTTGCCAAGTTTACAGGGGAGCGTTTTAAAGTTCTGAATTCAGTGAAATGAGTATAACACGTGACTATAGCATTTCTCACTTTTATTCGGCAAAGCTCCGTTACTCACATAGAGTATTATAAAATCCTAGATATTGGTTAGATGATCTATTAGATGATCACTCTATGCGAATAACGAGCTTTGCCGAATAAAACTGAGAAATGCTGAAGTCACCTGTCATGCCCATTTCAGTGAATTCAAAACTTTAAAACACTCTATACATACAACATATGAATAAAAATTGATTTTGATACTAGTAGGCCAATTGTCAAAATAAGAATGAAGAAGACAATAACGCAATTAGCAATAATTAGAATGTCGTACACACATTCACAATTTTTAGTAGCAGTAGAGCTACTTGAGAAAGAGTACTGCCACCTTACTATTTCTGCCGCCAAGCAGAAATGTCAGTGTTCCGGTTTTGAAGGGTAAGGGTGCTGGTGAAATTACAAGCACATGCGACTTTTTTTTTACATATAATAGACACACGCTTAGCCACAATCGAGATTAATCAGTCGACAAATGAGTTATTGTAAGGTTCGGAATCGACCCCCTTACTTGGTAACCGATCGGCCACAGAGATAGTTAAAGGAAGGAAGTTCTAAGGATCCTGTCGCTTCGTATCAGATGCGCAAATATGGACCCCTCCTACGTAAAGTATCGTATGTGGAAATTGCCAAGTTGACAGGGGAATGTTTTAAAGTTTTAAATTCACTGAAATGAGCGTGGACGGTGACTGTGACTTGTCAACTTATGCCACAGGGTGACGGGCGCAGTGGCAGTGCCTCCAGATCTTTGCGATTTAAAGCTCTGAGATGCACTGCCTTGGACTGGACTGTCATGGACAGACGTGTAGCTTACGGAGCACGACATGTTCGTCCCGTCACTTGATATTATAAAATGAAAGAGATAAAAAACAATACAGACAATTTTGGAAAAAAAAATACCTTCTTTCACAATCTATCGATAAAACTGTCGGGCAACTACCACACGACTATTTAAAATATTATAAAACTGGCAACCCTGCAAATGTCAAAAAAGACAAGACTATTGCTGTAGTATAGCTAAAAAAAATTAGGAGTTAAAGAGTTAATTATTTTTTAATTAATAAATAGGTTCAGGCGTTACTTTGCGGAAGTCCATGTTAATAAAAATGAAAGTAAATTAATTTGCTACTCGCGAACCAAGTGAAAGTTAAATAGCTGCGCTTGTTGAATATTTTTTTCATACAGTTAATTTTCCCACCCTCCCTCCGCATAATATTAACAACACAAGCGCAACTACAGTCACAAACCACCACCAAAAATATACCCGACACGTAAACACGCCTCTCCACGAGGCATCCTCAAGGGTTGTTGATTGATCGACACTCGGCCAAAGAATGGAGTTATTTATTGAGATCATGGTGTTTAATTAACAAACCTGTTGCTGATTGAGATAGTGCTGCTGGTAGTCGGCAGGGGAGGGCACGTAACCCATCACAGGCGCTGCACCGCTTTGGTTGCCCTGCAAAGAAATCACATGCTTCACCTGCAGGTTTTTTTCTGGCTATATTTAAAGTGATAGCGTATGATATTAGGATGCAGCCCAAGTCCATGTTATTTTTTTCTCATTTTATCTTATTTTGACATCTAGATACAATTACAATCGTTGTCGTTAGAATTGACCCAAACGAAAAATAATTACTTTTAACCTAATTTAATTTCTTGGCAACATCAAAGTCAAATAATAATTTATTCCATAGGCAAAATTTTTACAC